ATGTTTGTGTCTATACTTTGCAAGTAAGTTCTATTTTTCATTTTATCAGAGAACAAAGATATTATTCTTTTATTCAATCTTATCTACATACTCTTATTATGTCACTTTAGAAAAATCAGTTCCAAAGCGAATAAAAATGAAAATTTGTCAATTAAAAATAACGTATCTAGAGAACTATACATATATTATAATTTTGAATCATATTTCTAATCAACTATTTATTATTAGACAATTATATACATATATATGTATATATATATATATATATATATATATATATATATATATATATATATATGACTAAATATACATTAAGCTCAACACACCTTTGCATCAATAACAACTTGTACTCGTTCCACAGGACCATATTTTGAGAATATGTGTTGAATTTGTTGTTCAGTTGTAAAAATTGATAATCCAAAAACGCCCAGACAACGGGAAGGACAGGGATTGTCGCGATTACCGATGTGCCGTCGCCTTGATGACATTGGACTGCGCGAGTGTGACCGGTATACGTGTCGATCACGAGAGTATCGTGATCGCGAATACGAGCGTGATCTACTACGGGAGTAACGGCCACCGCGATATGGCGAGCGACTCCGGCTGCGACTGCCACGATGGCCAACACTGGCGTACTTGCTGCTGCGATATGACTTTCGACCACGTGACACGGAACGACTTCTTGATCTCGAGTATTTGACTTCTCTATGCGAATCCTTCCGCTCACGCGACTTGCGTGATCTTGAGTGCGATCGCGAGTCTCTTAGTCCACCATCTGCAGTTCGTGGTCGTCGAGGGCTTGCACTGCGACTGCCACTCCTCTGTAAATTACAAATAACTATTACTTACTTCAAATTATACTAAGTTATATGGAGTGAATAAAAAGGAATTACCATTACATTTCACATCCAAAATTAAATATAAGAAATGAATACGTGATAATATCTTCGTAATAGGATTTCTTTGATTCATTAATTTATATTTTTATAACTTTGTTCCACGTATATTCCTTGTATTACATCTTTTGTAGATTATAGAAAAGATAAAAAGATATTATTATAAACAAAATATTATAGATATTTCAATAAACATAATATTAAATCTTGAGACAAATATTGGATTTGAAGACAAAATTGAATTTAACTCAATGATAATACAAATTTAATTTAAATATAACTTCAATCTAGTCTCCAAAGACCAACTTAAGCAGTTATATAATATTCGACAATGATTCATATAAACAAAGTATATTCATATAAGTACAAAATGATAAAGATATTTTAAAAATATTTTAGATGAAAAAATATTCTTGAAGACCTTGTAGAATATATATATATATATATATATATTCACAATGATATATATATCAATTGTAAAAACAATATATTTCTACAAGATCTTCAAAAATCTTTTTATATATGTATTTTATATATATATAAAATACATATAATTCTATATATAAATCCAATTTAAAATTAGTCTGTGTGTTAAGTATGTATGCATGCATGTGTGTATGTAGATACATATATATGTATGCGCGCGCGCGCGCGCGTTTGTGCGTAATCAGAATTGAATTTTGTTTAATGCTATCTAAAACATCTGAACGCGAGCAAAGCGGTTGGCCAATCATCAAGAGCAACTCGACTATTCACGTTCATAACCTTATAAAATCCCTTTATCAAGCTTAAAATTGTTATTCAGAAATTGTACGTCGCCAGAAATTAAACGTATCAACATCGTATTCGTCGTTAAAGTATATTCCGAGATTAATATAAAACAAGAGAGATTAGTATAAAACAAGAGAGATTAATATAAACAATTTTACATGCATAAAATCATTGCAAATGGTCGCGTGGTATTACTAATGGCTGGAAGTGAACTACGTCGCTGGATCGATAATGGCTATGCCGGAATTGTATAATGTAATTTATACGATTCGTGATTCGTATTATTGTCGCTTGAATATCTGAGAATATTTCGCACTTACCTCGATGTCGCTCATCGTTAATATACGATTTCAAACGTGAATTCGTAAAAAACAAAACGAGACGTATCGTCGCGAGGTCCGTATCTTCGAGAGTCCTCCTCAATAATATGGCGTAAGCTTCGTCGCAGGAAACGCCGGGTTCAGAATACACACGAATGAACACACCATATCCGGTGTTGCCATGGAAACGGGAAGGGGTACGTTCTTTTATGCCACATGTGCATGGGACTGCGGTACACGACAGAAGCAACGCGATGACCAACTACTTTCCGCTACGTACTATTCATATTAGAAAAGTGCCTATTAATTGGCCATTAGATTGAAATTTAATCAATCAGGATGACTTTTACTTTTTAACTTTCAGTTAAGATAATCGGACGGTTATTTCATTGGAATTGACCAATCATATTTGTTGTTAAACTTGCAGACAAATTGCAATTGGTCAATTTGAATAGAACAGTTGGCCGATTAATTTAACCAGAATTAAGAGTGGTGTCCCATGGCGCGGAAATCCACAGCGGAATGGAACGCGCAAACCAATCACAGCAAAAGAATCAAAAGAAAACTCGTTCATTCTGTTCATTCTTTTGCTGTGATTGATTCGCGCATTCCGCTGTGGATTTCAGCACCATGGGATACCACCCTTAAGGCTATCAGACTAATAGTTGCCTGGCTACGATTGCCGGATGATTCTACTATTACCAATCACCATAATCATAAAATCACCATAACCATAATCATATCAGGACCTGCCACATTGTGATTGGCTGAAATAGAATCGGCAACCGTAACCGCGCAACCGCTAGTCTGATATAGCCTTTGGTTTATGGAGGCCGTAATCTGTTAACTTATATTGTAAAAAATTGAACATAGTCGATTATTCTTCTATAATTCAATTATGATTGGTCAATTTTTTACGGTTACGGCATAAGGGTTCCTTTATTCACTCCAAGTACTCATGCTATGACGTAATGGAAGTGTACTGTGGCTATTGTTCCGTTTTAGTTTCGAGCGCTTTCTAACTGCTTCAAGATTATAAAACGGAACGCAGTTGCAATATGTTTTCAAGCTCCAACTGAAAATGGCATTATGTTAATATTAGAAAAAAAATATAATTTATTATATATATAAATATTATATGTATATTAAATATAATATATATATATATATATATATAATAATAATAATAAATAATTTATAATATTATATAATATCATAATAATTTCATAATTTAAGCCAGTAGCACGATGCTTTTTTTTTCTGCTGGTTTGCTAGCTGATTCGCGTGCTTGCTGAGCTCTTTGATTGGTATATTCTTTAAAAAAATTTATTATATTATTTCATATTATATTTTTTTAATTTTCTTCAACATCAATCAAGCTTATTTCAGTCTTCATGGAAGCAGCCATCTTTGTGCTCTAACTGCTTTACCTCGCTGGTTGCAGTAGCCGCAACAGGAAATGCGTCAAAATCAATGACGTCATAGAATTCAAGGCAGTACTTTCGGAGTGCACTATTCTCTATATCGGAACGCTATTCGTAGTACTGACAGTATTCGGCGTGGAACGCACTCTAAGTTAATAGATTACGGTCCCCATAAATTAACCCTTATGCTTCGATCTTAGCCTGGATCTTAGCCTTCTCATGCAGACACCATCGCTTTGACACAGATGTTGATTGGTGAAAAACGAATAGTAAAACAGCGAATGAATCTTTACTATTTATCCCCATTATCCGTTTTTTAACAATCAACGCTCGGTGTCAAAACACCGGTGTTTGCATGAGGATCTAGGCTTAAGCCAGCGGCACACGATGCTTTTTTTTCTTACTAGTTTGCTAGCTGGATTCGCGTGCTTGTTGAACTCTTGTCTTCGATTGGTATATTTTTTTAGATCCAAAAGAATATACCAATCAGAGACAAGAGCTCAACGAGCAAATCCAGCTAGCAAATCAGCAGGAAAAAAAGCATCGTGTGCCGCTGGCTTTAGTGACATGTTGATGTGGATGCGATTCGCTTGCTACTACAAATCTTCGAAATATTTGATTAACCAATCAGAACAAAAAATTTTCTGAATTGGCCAATCGAAAGTGCTTCAAAGCATTTGTAGCACCAAGTGGATCGCACCCGCTGTTGCTGGCGTCCACGCTAGCAAATATGCGCGGAAGTTGCAATACTGTTCGCTAGTACTAAATCAGTACGCTGGCGACGCTGTTAGTCTCAGGAAGTTCAAGGAAGACACGGAAATGAGGGAATGGCGACTGCGAGTGGTGTGGTGTACGACACAATTTTGCGTTGTGAGAAAAATGAGCTGCCCTTCATGACTCCGGTTGTTAAATGAAGTTTATAGTTAAGCATGTCGACTATATGACGATCAGGATTAGGAAAATAGCCCAAGGGATATTTTCTCGCCGTCCTGTTTACGACTAAGTGTGGAAACGTCACTTGTCCTCTGTCGTGGCTACTTCCTTGAACCTGTCACGAATTAAAACTACCTCGAAAATACTTGGTTATTATTAGCCCTTGAATTTGCATGAGAACGCGTATCTGTCGACGGTAAGATTTTCATATTTGTGATATATGAATCTCTATAATATTGCGACTGTTCCAACTAGCACACTGTTCGTGAGAGATAGCAATAACGGTTAACGATCGTGTAACGGTACAGTTTCTGATGCACAATCGTTATACACAATCTTTTTTCCAAGTAGTCACATTTTTATTCTTAAATATCATGTATATTGCATTCTGATTGTATTCTGTTTCGTTATGTTAATTATTACACGTGCTTGAGTTATGTCATGTTAATACGTACAGTTTACAGAATACATTAAGCCTTTTTTTAGCTGCATTTCTATATGTATGATTCATCTTTTCTCTTTTTCTTTTTATTTTGTTAAAAAAAAAGAAGGAAGGTGAATTGTGCAAGAAGTTCTAAAGAGAATAGATTTATTGTTTCTAACCTCATTGCCTGATCTCTTTCATAATTGTTGTAACACAGTTTGCTAAATTATCAAAATAAATTATCAGAAAATTTTCTGTATACATTTACTTTGCTTTTGATGATTATATGTTGAATGTAATATATATGTATATATAAGATGCTGCATAGAAATCGGTACTAAACAGTTATATTTCAAGCGAATGATCCAGATTTGTTTCTCGACATTTTAAACATTAGGAGTTTTAAATGAAGGAATCTCCTATTATAATAAAAACAAAGCATTCAAAATATAAATTTAATTATTTAAGATACCTGGGAATAGTCTATCTATCTCTTGGAAGTTAAAAATTTTCAATCTATAAATGAATTTTATCTTACATATAAATTCAAGATATCATAAGTTAATTATAGAGTCATATTAGCATCTTAAATGTTCTTGATAGTCTTAAAATAAGAACAGATTATGAATACCAACCTGGAATTAAATTAGAAAATATTTCGAGACTAAACATTTGTTCTGAATCACTATAGAATAAATATATAGTAATAAATTTATTTATTGATTATATATTCATGTATATATTGGATGTTGACTCATATCACAAGTATAACTTATGATTGTTATACTTAAATATCTGATTTGATATATCATTGTAATATAACAGATTAAAAAAATGCTGTATTAAAATGAAATTAATTATATTAATTAGAAATATTTTTATAATTTATGCAGGCAAAAATGTCAGCCGAATACAGTCGAAGTGTTTTAAAAATAGTTGTTGCTCAGATCTGCCAGACCATAGGATGGCATTCTATTAATTCTACACCATTAGAATTCCTAGTAGATCTTATGCAGGAATATCTGTTTCGTGTTTCAAAACTCACTCATCAGTATGCAGAAGTTTGTAAGTACTAGTATTAATTTTGGTAGATATTGTCTTGTATATTATCAGAATGTTTTGTTTCTGATATATATTTTTGAATATAATGAATAAGATTTGAATATATTTTGGAATTATTATACTTTGAAAATTTCTTGCAAATGTTAAGAACTAAATGAATTATTTATTTGTTATATTTGTAGTTATAGTTATATTGACAAATAATAGATAATTCAAATATGTTTCTAGATATTTTGGATTTATGATATTATTATATTTTACAGTGGGAAGAACAGAAGCTAATCTTGATGATTTAGGATTAGCATTTCAATATATGAACATTGATATACAGGAATTAGCAGAATATGTGAAAAATGTAGATTCTATACCATGTGTTGTACAAGTGCCACAATATCCAATTCGACGTGAAAATCATTTAAATTTTTTAAAACCGGGTAGTCGTGAAGTTGTTACAAGATCAGTGCATATACATGAACATTTACCAGCTATGTATCCAGATACGGAAGGTAATGAATTATACTTCCTATATGAAAAAAAACTATAATAACGTAAATATTAATTTATATAAAATATCAATTTATATTTTTATTTTATTGAGAATATATAATTATAGAGGAGTATGTACCAGATAAGAATGAAAGTTTAATGAATGGCACGACAGACCTGACATCCAATAGTGGGACATCATCGGGCAATTCGAATAATGCATCACCTCATAGAACATCACCACAGGTGGTTTTTAAACGGCCGGGTGATCCAGTATCTTTTGAAAGTCCTATAGTGAAACGGGCGAAAGTTTTGGAGGAAGGCAGACCGTTACGTGAAATAAGCAGTGTTATGATGACTACATCTGGTTTTTTATCACCCGCACGAGAGGGAAAATTACCTGAGGCAAGGACACCACATCAAGTCCGATCAGATTCGCCTCAACCGAGTTCTTATCCAATGGTACCACCTGAATTGAAATATGACAAGAAACCAAAGAAAGTTATAAAGAAAGGCCCAGAAGATCGTAAGCTTGATAAAGAAAACAAGAAGAAGAAAGGCGCGAAGGAATTATTCAAGCCAGACAAAATTGACGAAAGCAAAGTAAAAAAATTAGTCGGCATGAAGGAACTGGCCAAATTGAAGCCGTTGAAACCAGGAGGTGGTAAAGCGCAGTCTACTACGTTACAAGAACTAACGAGTAGCAGACCATCAACACCGAAGATTGTGTCACCGAAATCAACCGCCGGTAGTCCGAAGCTATCAAAGACAACACAACCGAAAGTGAAAACCGAAAAGACGATAGACTTGATAGACACTCCTCCTGCCACCGAGAAGAAAGAAGAAACCGTTGACAAGTTGCCATCGGAACCAGATAAACAGAAACTGAATATTTTTAAGAAGATATCGAAACCACGCGAAGAAAAAGATAAAGATAAAGAAACTACGGAGCCGCATAAATACAAGGATGTCCTTGATTCACGTGAGAATTCGCCAGAGTTGATCATAGATGTCGAGAATGCAGAGAAGCATGTGCACCGTAATGATGCGGATCCGAAAGGAGGACGCGAGGAGAAAAAGACACCTCACACTCCAGATGTGCATATACCACCAGATGGTGATTTGGCGGATGTACAAAGCTCATCTTCGGACGTTTACATATTCGACGATGCTGACATTTCACCGCCAGGTACACCTAGTACACCGAAAACTCCCGAATTGAGTGTTCCCACGGTTCCAGAGCAGAAGCGGAAGAAGAAAGAAAAGAGTGGCAAAAAGAAAGAACCTAAATTGAAGAGTCCAAAACAATGTGTCAGCCCAAAGAAAGTAAGATACGTTATATATTTCAGGATGTTATTCATACATATACATATACATTGTATACAAAAAATGTATGCGACATTTATGGTTTTTTAATCGATCGCAGAATCAATTTTGTCCCAAATGATAATTTGATTACATGTTACATTCTTTTAATATTTAATTTTCTAATTTTCAATTAATACCTTGATGATTGATTATCTTTCAGATAAAGGTCTCGAATGATACAGCAGAATTAGATTTACCAGATCGGCCCAAAACGCCACAGGCACCTGAACCGCCATTACACAGAGAGCCTACTACTCTTCCACTTCAACTTCCATTCCCCTTTTTCCCTACATTTCCTTCAGCACCTGGTTTAATTCCTCCGATGTTTCCGCGATTTCCGTTGCCGCTTCGAAGTGGTCCAGGTCCTCATCCGGCAATGCCCAATTTACCATTACCGCCGCGTTTTCTCAATCCACCTATAAAGCCCGAAGACTTTCCACTGCCTAAGATTAAACCTGTAGAACGTGAGAAGCCACTGATCCTAACATCGGCTGATTTAGCATCTTCATGGATTCCAAGTGAAAATGAAAAGGCAGACAAAGAGAAGGTGGATAATAAGCTTACGAAAATATCTAAGCAAAACAAAGAATTGCCTTTCATGAAAGTACCTGAGAAGGTACTGCCTGTAGGCGTTGCACCGCCTATAGTGTCTGCACCTGTTGCACCAATCACGCTTCCTACACCACCAGTACCCGTTGTGCAAATGCCACCATCGAAAAATCCTAAAGCTGAAAAAACACAGAAGAATGATATGGTAAATTCAGTAGGAAACCATATCTCATTAAATATCTCGATCATATTTTATTATAATTTTATTTTTTAACAAATATTCTGAAAATCTATCTGTATACCCATGCACGATAATATATTCATTTATATCCATCAATGATGTTACATATAACTACTATATTTTTATCTTAGTTGATTAATCTTACATTTTTATATAAATGCTGTTTTTACATGTATGATATGTAACATTTTTAGAAATTTAAAGAACATAAGAAAGAAAAGAAGGATAAATTGAAGAAAAAGAAAGATAAGAAGGAGAAACACAAAGATAAAGGTGAAAAACTGAAGGAGAAGAAGGAAAAAACTGAGAAACGGGAGAAATTAGAAAAGCTTAAAGAGAAGAAGGAGAAAAAAGAAAAGAAAAAGGAAAAGGATCAAAATAAGAAGAACCTGGTATTTATATAATCTTTTGCTAAAATAATTACATTAAATAACAAGAATAATTATTATGTATCATTTTAGAAGGAAGATAAGAATCCGGAAGCTGTTCCTAAAATAACATTAAAATTAGGTACAGCTTCTCCTAGACCAGCAACTCCAGACAATGCCCCTATGAAGAAAATGTAAGCCAATGAATTTTTGTTATTATCAAATTTTTATTATCGATTAAAAATAATATAAATTTTTATTTAATTTAATTGATTTATTGAAAAAAGAAATTTTTATGTCATATATCATATCGATACAGATAAGCATAGTATGATTATTTTTTATTTTTTTTTCTATAGAACTATTAAGCCACTTGTGAAAAAGCCTGATGAAGAAGTCAAGCGGGATCCTAGTCCAGAATTGGCGAAAATATCAGCATTAGTAACACGACCGCCAAAGCAAAAGTCAGCAAGTAAGAAAACAGAGGAGGGAATATTAGATGGAAGCCCTGCTGTTCCTACAGACTCTTTTTCTGCCAATCTTACTAGTGTATCACTTGCATCAGTTCCTCGAGCAAAGAAATCTAACTTCCAAAATCTATCTCAAAGTGAACCAATACTTACACCTCAATTTGACAATCCTCCTAAACTCCCAACCCTCCTAGTGCCGCCACAACAACCACCGTATTATTTTGTAAGTACATTTTTCATGATATTTACATATTGGGGATTATTTGATTTTAGATCAAGATTCAAATTTTTCATGAAAATATTGCAATCTTATAACAAAGAATATCTTTAGTAAATTGACTTTTTGTGATCATCAAATGAAATTATTTATATAGAAAATAATATAATGCTCGGAAATTATTAAGCATATTTTCAAAGCGTAGAAATATTAAGCTATTGTCTAATTATTTTTACGTCTATATAATTTTTCCGAGGTAACATGGAATTGTAAATAATTTTTTATAAGTATAAATAAGTTAATAATATAAATAAACTTTGCAAACAAGTTTTGAAAAATAGATTTATTAAATTTTTGTAGTAAAATGTTTTAACTGTATATAAGTTCGGGAGGATTTATTTTATCACGGTATATCTTTATTGATAACTTATTCTCTGATGATGAACCCAACCCATTCTCAATATTATTTCAAATATAAACCTATCCAAAAATTCCAATTTTCTATTCATGCTATTTATGCATTTACGTCTTGTGGTGACGGTATTATGTTCCCTTTTTTCCTTGAACTACGCTCTCTTTTTTAATATTGTTATGTTGTCCAAATAATGAATGTAGTATATATTCTCTCTTATAGCTATATTTAGACTTACTGTGTGTTTTATGTTGCAATTATTACTTTACTTACTTCCTTTATGTAATGCTCATATTTCTATTTTTCATATTGAGTTTCAAATACTTTTTTATTCTTTTCATAAATTAAATCTTCAATGCTTATTTCGCCATTCTATTTTTACCAATCTATCTTGCAAAACTTATTTTGTACAGAGCTTTTCAGAAAAGATATTTATATTTTTTATAATTAATGAAAGTAAGTAATATCAAGCTATATGAAATACATTTAATACATATTGTACGAAAATACAGAAATAAATTTTAGAGAAAGGAAATAATATTTTCTTAAAAGAAAATATTAGTACAATTAATGAATTTAATAATTTGTTAAAACAATTTGTTATTTTTTGCAACATTTTAAATAATAGTAGCTTTCTGAGTAGCTGCAACTTGAGTTTGTCATTTATAGAATTATCATTTATGCAAATATGAATATAATTCTTTATAAAAAAATAA